GCGTGGTGCCAGTTTCCCCTCCACCACTACTCTAACCCAACCTAACCAACAGAGCTCATTAACATAAACAGCTCTTCTGAACAGAAGTCAGAGCAGGCAGAACTAGAAAATGGGAAATTTTATTATCTGAGAATTATTTTGTGCATTAAATTGAATGAACATGGTCTGGATAGCCCACAGACATACCATAAACAGACATACCATAAAAATTTCTAGGACCCATAATTGGTCTCCTTTAAGAGCGAGCAACTGTCCACATCTTCTTTTCATCTCCACAGTTAACAAGTAAAAAATGTCTTTCAGACTCCAATCTGGGTAAAAAAATTGGTCGCACTCTAGAGCCCTGCAGGGAGGGAGTTCCAAAAGTGGGGCGCAGCCCGCTTACACTCATTTCATATTTATGCATGAGGGCCCTGGCATCAGATTTATAAAGGATTGCGTGGAAACCATACTAAAAGTGAACGTACGGCCAAAAGAAGGAAACGGCATACGCCAAAAAAAATTCAGATTTATAAAACTGTGCGAACGCATGTTTCTGCACATCTTTCCTTTTTAGATCACAGCGTCACCTCAGAGTTTGCGCACGAGGTCCCGCCTCAGGTTCTACCCTCTATGCGCCCACACTCAACCATAAACAGTCAATGCAAAGTACCTCATGAATGTTAAGATGCATTTAAATCAGTCAGCTGATCAACGCCAACAATAGTGATTGGCTCAGACTCGTGCTCCGTCGTGTGTCTGGAGGATGACAGGTGCTGACAACTGCTCACGTGAACAGAATGTATGTAATTTACACAGATTTTCCATCATTTTGCAGGTTTAAAGACGCTTAGAGTAATCTAATGATTTTTATCAAAAACTCGGCTTCGAATTCATTTTCTCTCAGAGCCTGCAGGACAATAAAAACAATAAATAAAATTAAATAAGTCAGATAAGTTTAATTTCACCGCTTTATGGACATTCACAAAAGTGAATCTTTTATAACACATCCAMACTGGCGAGGGCGCGCGTACCCAAAGCGTGACTATAACCGAGCTTTTTGCTGTCGTGCTGTTGAAATGTCTCTTATCAGGGAGGGGTCTGTGGGTCAGGGTCATGAGGAGGAAGGAGATGTGTGAACTTTTATTTAAGATTTAAGGTTTTTATTTCAAAGATCCTTATGGTTCAGCAGCAGATGCATAAATTATACTGTTAAGAAAGCTAAACTATGTATATATTTTTATAACTATTTCGTTTTAACTCAAAACTCAAAGTAGAAMCTGAGTTCAAATCCCATCTTCACTCAACTCAAACATTTTATAATTTAGAGAACTTATTTTCTTCACAATTAAAATACATTTTGAAAAGTATGTGTTTGCATGTGACCTGTTTACCCTAATTACAAACACACGCTCAATTCTCGGGCACAAGCTTGATTGTAGATGTTATCCAAAAATATATTTGGACTATTTTCTTTGAATTTGTTTGTAAAAAAGGGGCAGAGATTATACGATTCTTTCTTCTTCTGCTACCTTTCATTTAACTTAATTTGTGATTTGTGTTTTGTTGTATGTTGAATTTGTGTTGTTTTTAAATGAATAAACTAACTTATTGAATGGTGTGATATTATTGATAAATATTTCTGTTTATTATTTTTGTATGTAGCACTGCAGCAGCAGTTTTAAATTTTGCTGTTTAAAAACTTCACGTGTTTATGATTTTGAAACAAAGCTTTATTTGAGCTTCATTATGTTACATTGRTAACATGTCAGTAACCTAGATAATGTGCAACACTACCCCTTTGTGACGTTTTAATGTTTGCTCCACAGTAACTCTAAGGCAGCCTACAAAGATCCAATAATAACAGAGGTATCAGTGCTTCCCTCTGGCATTGTGAGATAAACAAGATTTTTTTATGCATTATTTGTGAATTATGAAACATTGCTGATCCTTGTGATAAATTTCTCTTCCTCTGACTTCTCAATGATCAGTCCTCAGGTCCCCATAAAATTCAATCAAAGCTGCATAGTTTCGAGAGTTGTAAAGTAACCAAATATAAATACTTTGATACTGTACTTAAGTAGAAATTTAGGCTATCAGTACTTTATTTGAGTAAATGTTTTTCAGCCCACTATCCAAATTGTTTTAACATTAGCATTTTATTATAACATTGTAGTCATTYCAGAAAAATGTTTTTTGGGAGGTAACCTCCCAACAAATGTCATTTTGGAAAATCTAATTGCTTACTTTTACTACTGYAACTGAAAATGTGCATGGAGGACAACAGAGCTGCTTCATGGAGGAAGAACCCCAACTTAGCCTGGTTAGTTTTAGCGCAGACACTATATTGCCTTATATGTATTAGCTCGATGCTAGCGTGACAAACTAACAAGCTAAACTGAGGTCCTCCGTCCATATTTTCAGTTGCAGGCTAGCCTTCTCTCTGTCATCGCTCTCGTTCATTTAAAAGAGTCAATCATCAGATATTGTCCAAGATTAACCTTCAGGGTGGATATAGCTMGCTGCCTCGCACTGAAGACCTGTCGACGTCATCATTTACCCAGAATGCTTTGTGTCTAAATAAAATGGCTCAATCCGTGTAATATATTTCAAAAAAGATTTTGCTTAAAAATTATAAAAACTAAACAGCCTACAGTATTTTTACAGTCTTTATTCTATAGTTAAAATAAATGTTTATCAAATAAAGTCTGTTACAACTAATGGTGGATCCCTTTAACTTCTTATGGGAAGTGTGTGCTTACCAACCAGAAGATCCTGGTTCAAATCCCAATTGGTGATGTTAGAAAATTAAAATGTTGAAGTGACCAGTCTACAACTTATAAACTATTGTGAGTGTAATTAAATACTTCCCCCTTCATAACTAAACGTTTTACGTTTGATCACTCCAGATTGGTTTTAGCTTATATTGATTGTATATTAAATAAAATATAATTATACCGTATTAGTTTCATTTTTCATTTTGTATGATATAGTGTTCTCTCTTTTATTGTTTGTTTATTTTATTGTTTATGATTATTTTATTTTTAATGTAAGTGCAGCAATAGTTCCAGTGACAGTTGTTTGTTCATGTTCATTACTGCAGGCAACGACACATATTTTCAGTGCTAACTTTTTTTTTCAAAAACAAACAAACTTGTTTTTGTGATGGCTTGTCTTTACGGCAGCTTCAGCACAAACTTAATAAATGTTAACTGAGGATCATTTTCTGGTAATACTTCTAAAAAAAACRTGGCTGTATTGTTTCAAAGTAGTCGTCCCCAAATGGCAGGCTGCAGTCTACAACYATTAATAAATATATTCTTATCTAAACCCATGAGTTGAAAAATTTCAATAAACTCATATTTTTCTTTTTTCACTGTAATTCTTCTTAACTTGAAGCTCTAACGTCACTATTTGACTGATGCTGCCTCTCAACTTAAACCATAAACCACCATAAACAAAACCAAAGCTGCTGCTGCAGCTCATACTATTTTAAACTGTTTACTTGTTAATTCAATGCAGGCTTTATAGAAAAGCGACTGCTGTAGCTAATTATCATATGAATGGAGGAGACTGTTTAACAGATTTATGTGAACTTCTAATCAAAAACCAAATGAACTAACTGCTGATGTTAATGTAACTGCAGCAGCTTAGACTTGTAGCTGAAAGTGATATGTATGGTGGACCAGATTTGACCTTGTCTGGTTGTCCTTGTTTAAGAAAAGAAGCACCAAGTGGTAGAATATCAGACACAAACAGCATCATGTTCAGCTGCAGGCAGAATAATGGAAAACAGTAGCTTTACAGATTTTATCCTCTTTACGTTCTCATTTCTGATAAACATCTAGCTTCATCTTATTTTCACTGGCTTGCCCTTTAAACATCTCACACAGAACAGAAAAATAGAAACTCTCAGTCAGCAGGTGAGAAGATGTGACAGAACCATAGAAAAGAGGCAAATCTGAATATTCAGTTTACCACCCTTGTGATTGAAGATGGAGTAAAATCAGAGCTAAGGAAAGGAAAAAATAATCTATTTTCCTATATTCCCCTCTCATTCTCTGAGTGAAAATCTGCACATTGTTCCGGTGTTGGAGTCGAGCCCGTTGTAATTCGATGTCTGGCTTTTTTCCAGGGATCAGTCAGAGCAGGATCTCCCATTGGCTGCTGCAGCACGGCTCCGACCTGAGCGAGCAGAAGAAGAGAGCCTTCTACCGCTGGTACATTCTGGAGAAAACCACACCAGGTACACACACCTTCATYAGAGGCTAAAGGCCACGCACATTTCTGTTCGACTAAACCTTGTGTGTAAAACGCACTCCTTTACATTTTATCTGGCCCCAAAGATGATATTTTAAATTTAAAACCACCTTTTCACTTCTTTCTTTACTTGAAGAAATTAAGCTTTTTTGTGCCTAATGCAGTCTTCTCGTGATGGCCAACTTTAAAGTCAAGAAAAATAAGTAGGAATTTTTCAGTAATCTTTGATTTTGGTGTGGAAAAGCAACAGAGATTGTGCAATGAGACCAATCAAACTCCTGTTGTGTTAAGAAAAATATTTCAGTCGAGATTTTTTTTTTCGCTTTAACCCATGAAGATGTCAGCAGTGTTTATGTCACTGCCTGTTTATAAAGAGACATTTGAAATCCAGTGGACATTTGGATCCTTCTGACGTGTCTGCAGTGTTATTGGACTGGTAATGAGATAAATAAAAGAAGACATCATCTTGTGGTTGATGTTTCAGATGTAGCTATTGAATATTTTAGTATTTGAGTATAGTATGTATATTCATCGAGTATCCGGAAACCCCTCGACTTCCACATAAAATAAAAGTTACAGTGGTTTGCAAAAGTATTCATACCCCTTGAACTTTTCCATATTTTGTCACATTACAACCACAAACATAAATATATTTCACTGGAATTTAATG